ATAGGGCTTGGGGTGTGGAAATGTCTTTAATTTCAGCTTATCTACCAACGTATTTGATGCTACGTTGGTAAAACTCCCGCTATCCACAATCAAAAAGCACACCTTCTTTTGTATGGTACAATGGGTGTGAAAAATTTTTTCACGTTGTAGTTGATCGTCCAGACCAGCCAAGTTGCTCAAAGTCCTACGGATGACTAGGAGCTCACCTTCATCCGCACCAAGGCATTCTTCTTCTTTGGCTACTTCCTCAACCCAAGAGGGGTTGTCTTCTTCTTCTTCATACTCCACAATAGCCATAATCTTCTTGTTCGGGCATTCGTTAGCATAATGGCCTATGCCTTGACAACGAAAGCACTTAGGAGCTTGAGTGTTGGGGAGGTTGGCTTTGAGGGGTGCCGGATTGGTGGAAGTGGAAGGGATGGAGTTGGGTTTGGAGGAGGAAGGTTGGGCCATGGTATGGGGTGTCGTATGTGGGGTGATTTGTGTGTTTTCGAAGAAAGGAGAGGGGTGGCCAAATGAGGTTTTGTTTCTCTTAAGTTGAGATTCAACCTTAAGAGCTAATTTAGAAAGTTCTTCAAAGGTGTCGTAGGTTTGCAACTCCACTACACTGTCTATTTGGGTGCTAAGCCCAAACAAATAACAGACCAACGTTTGCGAGTCATCTTCTTGGAGGTCACACCTCATCAAAAGCTCTTCAAACTACCGGGTATAGTCTTCCACTGTCCGGGTTCCTTTCCATAGTTGTTGTAACCAGGCAAAGTTATCCCTCACATATTGTTCGGGTAAAAACTTCTTCTTCATCAAAGCACACATCTTTAGCCATGTCTTTGCGGGAGCCTTGCCTTCACGCCTTCTCTTGGTGGGGGTGTAGGTCAACCAAGTTGATGCATATTTCTGAAGCTTGAGGGCAACAAGCTTCACTTTCTTGTCCTCGGGCATGTCTTTAAAATCAAACACACGCTCAACCGTCTCAAGCCACTCTAGGAAATCACGAGGTCGTTCTAGCCTTCAAAGGTCGGGAGGTCAGCCTTGAAGTCCGTAGTTCCTTTCTCATTAGAGCTGCCTCCGGTGTTGGTGCTAGCGTCTCCCATTGGGTGTGCCTCAGCCTCTTGTTCTTCATCACTCTCTTCGGGGGAATCCGCAATTTTCAACTTCATCTTGGTGAGTTGAGCCACTTGCTTGGCTAAGTACTCAACTTGAGCTTTTAAGGCAGCATTGGAGGCTTGAAGTTCTTCATTGGTGAGGGCTTGAGATTAGTTTGACATGATGATAGGTGTGAGGGTAGTGGATAGTTGGTTTTTGGCCGAAAAAAAGGAAGGGAAAGAGAGGTGGAAGGGAAGTGTGTTCTTGGTCTTTAGAGATGTTTGAACAACAAGCTCTGATACCAAATGATATATCTTAGCTTATGTTTGAAGGGGGGGTGAGATGGCCGAAGTTTATGAGGGAAAGAAAGGGGGTATTTTGAGAGTTTAAAGGTGTAAGGAAAAGGAAGAAAAGGGGCTGTTTTGGTGTGTTTAAGGATGGGGCGAAAATGGTAGGGAAAAACAAAGGGAAGGGATAAAACCAAAGAAATCATACCAGTTAAGTTTACGCGGGATGGGTTTATGGAGATTGGGGATGAACGAGGGAAGTCAAGTATATTGACTGGTAGACTACTCGAAGTGTACCGGTCAAGTTTTTGTCATCGACCGATATAACCCCATTGTCGTTTAGGCTTCCCATCCCTGAAATTTAACCTTGACCGATTAAACATTTATTTGCCTTGGATTGTACCGGTATTAAGTGGAATACACCCATCCGTAGAAATAATAATTTTGCTACATTTATGTGATACTATATATCCAAAATGATATTTTAATTGATTAATATATATTTTTTGAAAGGTTGTAGTTTATCAATATATGATATTTAATTATGTTTTAAATGTAGTTTATCATGCAAACTTTGACCGCTAATTAAGTGATATTGATATTAAATATTGGATATAATATAATGAAGTTGTATTCCCAAGACTTTTTTTGATTCCTTTAGATAAAAGGATTCCTTTCAAGTTTCAAAGGAAATAATTTTCCGTCGTGACTTCCTATGTAATGACCATTAAGAAAAATCAGAGGCAATGTTTATTGCATGTTGTCCTACTACTTACGAAAAACCAGACTTTAATCATGGTCAACTTTATATTAAAATCTCCAACGTGACAAATCGTTAAGGATTAAAGATCTTAAGTTGCGATTAAGAAAACAATGCTTTGGACTACACTTTAAATATTGCATATAGAGAAGTTTTTTTGGAATTTATGATGCACTTTTATATGTATAATTTATTTATGTATAATGCACTCTCTAATAATGAAAAAACACTATAAGGGATATAGTAATCTTAAATAGATGGTACTTGACTGTGATATGTACTGAAATTTGTTCTATATCATATTTACTCATTTTAGGGGGTGTATTCAAGTAGGATTCTGACTGATTTTTTTGGATTTTGAAAATCTGTAGGTATTCCATTTAGATTTTAAAAAGTCATTTAAAATCTAGATGTATTCAATTCTGATTTTAAAAAATCCTTCTAAATATGATGCTATTCAAATATTGATAGATTTTTTAGGATTTTTATTCCTTAGGTATAAATACAAATCCAATTCCAAATCCTATCAAAAGCCCTAGGATTCCAAATCTTCCGCACGATCTCTTCCGCAGCTTTCTGTTCTTCCGCACCAGGCTTTTCGTTCTTCTGCACCAAGCCTTCTGTTCATCTTCTCCGGCTTCATCCAACGCACCAGGCCTTCCAATCTCTTCCACACCCTCCCTCCCTTTCTCTATCTTTGTTCTCATCTTCACCTTCTAGTCTCAGATCTTGTTCTTTCTTCTATTTTCATGCTAATTTGCTGCTATATGAATTGACTTTATGTATAATCGCCTTGTGAATTGCTGATTTTTTCCGTTGACAGGGCTCCTCTCCATCATCTACGGCGGGATGGGAGGAGGCGGCTTGGGGGCCGGCTCTGTGACGGCAAACCAGAGTAGTAGAGCCTTTCGTCTACTTTTTTATTTTTTTATTTTTTAACCAATTTGGGCTCATAACAATCCATTAGAATCTTGATAAATTCTTTACAGAAAAATAGATTGAAATAATGGACGGGAAAGAATTATTTATTGTTAATATAAATGATTTATTTATTGTTGTGTTATTTTGACCAATGCATCGCACATGTAAAATCTAATAGATGGGAAAGATATGGGACCAAACAAATTCAAACCAATCAAATTGTGAAGTGTAAGAGCATCAACAATGGCGAGGCAAAAATGGAATGCCACACGGTGACATAGAATATTTTAACCAATCAAAATAGTCCAGTCAGCGTGTTGCAAGTGAGTGGAGTGTCAAGCTCTACAGTGGCAAGTCATTATTTTTATCCCTTTTTTTCAATTTTTTATATTTTTTAAACATTAAAAAAAAATTATTTTATCAAAAAATTGTTCTACTTTCCTTTACATTTATTTGATAAAAAATTTAAAAAAAAACTTCACAAACAAAATACTCCCTCCGTTCTCCAAAACACTTCCTCTTTCATTTTTTTCATTTCCATCAAAACAATTTCACTTTCTATTAAAAAACCATTTTACCCTTACTTTTTCATACCCTACCTATCACATCATACTTTATCTCTAATAATCTATCCATCACATCTTACTTTTATCTATCACATCAAGGGCAAAATTGGAAGTTAACTATAATTTTATACTTCCTTATTTTTACACAAAGTCAAAAGAGGAACACTTTTCCTAAATGGAGGGAGTATAAAAAAGAAGAAAACAAGGATAGAATACTAAGGGTGGGCATTCGGGTCCAGGAACCGTGAGTCGGAACCGAACCACCAGGTTCGGGCCGAGTTTGGTCCGGGTCATCTTTTCAAAAATTTAAAACGGTCCGGTTCCCCATTTTGAAATTGTTTGGGACCCGGACCGGACCATTTTTTAAATACTAATATTATTTTTAATATTTTTTAGTAAATATACGGTATACCCGCCTATTCCAATTAATTTTAGTAACTCTTTTGGTCCTTCCATATTCCAATCGCAGGCAGAAGTGCAGAACCGCAGAAGTGAGAAAACAGAGAGTCTAAACTCTGAACGTGATTCGTAGCCTTCACATATTCACCTCCTTCGCCGATTTGCCGGTTCTCTCCAATCGCAGGCATATTCTTTCCAATCTCCGGCAGAAATTGGCGATTCTTTCCAATCGGGCAGTAGAGAATAGCCGACCTTCCTGTGGTACTGGTATGCTTCTCTTCTCATCTCATCTCTTATTGAAATATTCACTTTTTCATGTTGTATTCAAATTTAATATTATCCAATTAGACTACTCTTTAGAAACAAGTTGATTGTTGGTTTGGGATACTCATATTGAAAAATTTTTGTTGAAAAATTTGTGTGTAGACTTATCTATGTTGAAAAATTTATGTTAAAAAATTTCTTGTTGAAAATTTTCTATGTTGAAAAATTTATGTTGAACAAGAGAAATGATATTTCTTGTTGGGATACTCAGATCATGACTAATATATGTTGAAAAATTTCTTGTCACGGGACATTATGTCTCGGCCTGAATCGCTATCAAACACAAACAAGAGAAAAGCATCTGTGGGTAAACCTTTCTCCTTCCTCTTCCTCTTCTTCCTCCGACTCTGAGCACCCGGCTACTTCTCCATAGAAGAAGCCGGTTGATGCTTCCACTTGTGCCCCTTCTTCTTCCGTGGCGCAAGTTGTCTCGGTTGCCCAGCCCGGGGACGAGGGCTTCATTCAGCTAGACGACCGGTTGCTCCAAGAGCAACCGTCGTATATGCAGAAGCCCCAAGTCCACGAGCTGCGTAATCTGATGCCTGATGGGTACCAATTAACTTACCGGGCAACGTGGAAAAGCATTATCCCTCTCCACGTCGGTACGTCGATTGGTATCCATTACCATTCTATCAAGGACTTGGGTGAATTCTCTATTCACCCATTCAAAGTCCTTTTTCTTGAGACGTACGGGATCATGGCCGGGGCAATTGGCCCCTAATGGTCACCGTTTGTTGGGCAGTTTCATCAATGTCTGACGGTTTCTTCGTATCCCCCTCTCTCTTCGTCTCTTTGACCATATGTTCGATGTCCGGCCCGGGTCCAAGGAAACCCTTGGGTTCGTCGTGGTGTCTTCTCACCAAGGCCGGGCATTCCTCTGCGGCCTTCCACCTTCTAACAAGAAGTGGAAGGACAAGTATGTTTGTATCAAATTCCTCCTGGCTGCCTTTCCCTTTGCTCAAAATGTCTGGGGGGAAAGAATGAAGCGCTAGGTCAAACCAACGGAGGCCGATGACCTGGTTGCCTAGGAAGCCACCCTCTGGGCCGGGGACGCCTCCACCCGCGGTTTGTACCACGTCGGGAAGTGGAGCGTCTACCCCGGCCGGGAGACTGACCCCGAACCGGAGATTGCTCTACCTGGGGCGATCCCCGAAGCCATCCCCATCCGCCAGGCGGGGGGACCCAAAGCCCCAGCCGCCGCCACTGCCGGTCCTTCACGCCCGGCGAGGAAGAAGAAGGAGAAAGGTTTACCCACTGCCCTTCCCAATCTTTACGTTGTTTTTCTTATCGTTGTTTTTCTAACCGGTGTCTTTTCTTGCAGTGGTGAAGTTCCAGTCCAAGTTTTCCATTCCACAGATAGTGGTTGAGGAGCCCTCCACTGCTCAGTCACTCAATGCCTCCTCCAGTCAGCCGTTCTTGCTGGACGAGCAACCGGCCCAGTCCCATCAGGGGACCAACCAGCCCATTCACTCGGGGGAGATCTACTTCAACGTAGACACCTTCGAGTTTGACAACTTGATGGGGGAGACTGGGCATACGTCCTAGGCCGGGGTGGGAGGCCAGCCCAACGAGGAAGCAGAATCCGAGGAAGAGACTTCTGGGGGGTCCCTTCAACGGAAGAAGCGGAAGACTGAAGAAGTCAACCAGCCTTCCCATCAGGGGGCCAGTCCTCCGACATCGGCAAGGGGCCCATCGTACCCCGTTCCCTGGCTTTGATGTCCAGGTCAAACGAGGAGCTCTTCCGAGCGTTCCGATCCGATCTGAATGAGGTGACGCCTTTTTCTCCCCTACCGCCCTCTTATCGTTTTTATGCTTTTCTGAGAAGTTTTCCATGTCTTTAAAGCAGGTCGGCCGGATCGGGGAGGAGTACTTCGCCCGGCTGGTGAAGTCAATGGATGAGGAGAAGGCCCGGATGGAGGCCATGATGGTCGAATGCCGGAAGGAAGCCCAGGCTGCCCGGGCCAAGGCAGATAAGATCGAGGCCAAATGGACAGAGCACTGGGTGATTTACCGCCAGCTCTACGCCAAACACGATGGATTGCTAAAGGCTGCTAAAGAGGCCGACGAGCAGGCGCAGGCCAAGATCCAACAGCTGGAGGCCGAGAATGCCCGGTCAGCCGAGAAAATCGCTCGGCTGGAAGATGAGCTGCAGAGAGAGCAGTCGGAGCGCTCCGCCGTTGCTGCTGCCTGGGCCGCCCAAGCGCCTGAGGAGTTTGCTGCTAAGGCGCTGCCTGACCGAGAGACGGCCATCCGCTTCTTCCAAGGCCTGTACAAGCATCCAGTATCGGCCGGCATCGTGGACGCGATTGGGACCTACGGGTTTGAAAGCGGCCAGTACTCTGAGCGGAAGGCCCTCTATGGCATCCTTGAGCAGAGGATCCAAGGCTTTCAACCCAAGGCCCTTTCACTGCCCGAGCTGCATGACGAGGCGCCGGTCCCCCCATTCCCGGGCATCTGATCCATCTGGCCGGGCTTCTCTTTCCTCCTTTTTTTTTATGAAAGTTGAGAAAGTTATGTGTATATCTGTTGATAATGCATCCGCTAATAAAGTGGCTATTGAATGGCTACTTGGTAAAATGAAAAAATGGCCAAATTGTCAACTTGTGTTAGGTGGAACTCATATGCATGTGAGGTGTCTCGCTCATACTATCAACTTGATTGTGAGAGATGGTATGAAAAGGTTGGATAAGAGTGTGGTTGCAATTCGAAATGCTATCAAGTTTGTCAAGTCATCTCCCCCTCGATCTGATTACTTCAAAAAATGTGTTGAGAGTGAGAAACTAACAACTAAAAGTGCAGTTGTTATGGATGTCCCTACAAGATGGAATAGCACTTATTTGATGCTTGACTCAGGATTGAAATTGAAGAAAGCATTTGATCGAATGTGTGACGAAGAAGATAATGCATATTTGAGTTACTTTAAGGAGAAAGAAGTGAACTCATATGAAAATGAAGAAGATGAAGAGCAACCATTGGCCAAAAATAGCAAAGGAAGAGTTGGACCTCCCGGTGAAAGAGATTGGAACAATGCACAAGTTTTTGTTTCATTCTTGAAGATATTTTACTTGATCACTTTGAAAGTGAGTGCTTCCAAACATCCCACTTCTCATACGACATTCCATGATGTGATAACGGTGGAAAGTGAGATACAAAAACTTTTCCTACCCGAGTATTTGCAAACCGGGGATGTTGAGGAGAAGAGTCTGATTGACATGGCTAGTAGTATGAAGGCAAAATACAATAAATATTTTGGTTCAATCACTGAAATGAATCAATTATTTATTGTGGCTCTTGTCTTAGACCCACGATTCAAATTGAGACACTTTGTGCACTTGTGTAAGAAACAATTGGGGTATTCAGAAGAAGATGCCGAAAAGAAAAGCAATGCAATCAAATTGTTGATGAAAGATTTATGTGATGAATACGCAGAAGTTGCTTACGGAGTATCCAAGAAGCAAAAGTCCACCCAGGTAAAGAATTATGTTAGAATTTTTTTATGTTAGAATTTTTGTGTTCCGAGAATAAGTCATGTTCAATAAATGAAGCTAATTTCCACTGCATTAGAGAAAAAAGTGTATTATTGAATCAAAAGTCATGTTAAAAAAAGCATCCATTCGCTGCATAGCTACAGAATCAAAAGTCCACTGTATATATGTTGTCCATTGTATTTTGACAAAAGGCCACCCAAGTTTAGCATGTATGTAGTGTATTATTGACATTTATATACTTGTTTTTCTTTTTCAGGATGCTACTAGCCATTCAGTTTTGATTGAAAAACAGTCCTTGCATAGCTCAAATTCTCAAAACGATCAATCTTTTTTATTTGATGATATGATGGCTGATTGGGAGAAAGAACTAAAAGACATTGAGGATGTTGTATTGAAGCATGAGGTGGACAGGTATCTTTTAGATGGGCTAGAAAAGTCTACCAGAAACGAGATGTTTGATATTTTGAAGTGGTGGAAGTTGAAAGGGAGAGTCTCATACCCAACTCTTGCGTTGGTGGCGAAGGATGTTTTGGCCTTTCAAGTCTCAACAGTTGCTAGTGAGAGTGCTTTTAGCACGGGAGGAAGGGTGATTGATCCTTTTAGATCCTCTCTTACGCCTAAAACAGTTGAGTCATTGATATGCCTTCAAAATTGGATTCGAAGTGAAGACATTAGTGCCATTGAGTATGAAGCTAATGAATCGGAGCTTGAATTTTATGAAGAGTGTGAATTGGGTAATACTTTAATTTCTTAGCTAAAGGAGATAGAAAGTTACTCTCTTTCCATAGTTTTGAAAGTAATATGCTAATATGTTTGTTTTTTTTGTCATGTTTTTTTTGGCACAGAGCATAAGAAGGACAAAGAATCAACATCGAGTTCAAGTGCTCTTCAGCTTCAATCAACAGAAATAACTAAAAAGCATAAAGGATGTGCGGTATTATTTATCAATTCACTAACATTAGTTTATATACTTTTAGTCTTTTATACATTATTGAAAACTAATTTAATCATATAATTATATTTTCTCTACAGAGTAAAGACGAGATAATCAAGACGTAATTGCATGTGAAGGAGGTAGATTAAATATTGAACTTCTTTAATCATTTGCATATTTTTGTGTGTGGAATATGGTTGATTTTAAAATTTTGTTTTTTGCAGGTTTTTTGGATTTTTTGGAAGCCATGAAGATTGTCAATTTTGCTCTTTTTGAAACCTATTGACATTATAATGCCAAAATGTGGTTGTCTTCTTTTTGTTGGTGTTGTTGGATGATCATGGGATGTACACTTTACTCTCATGCCCCTCTTTGCCATTGTTTTTTTTCATTTATTCCTCTTTTTTGAACTTTGAAGGCATTATTCTATAATTTCTATTTGTTTTGAAGAATGTTAGTATTATGATAGGTTCGGACCCGTTCACTCGTGGAATCGGCTCGTTTCAAACAAGCCGGGTTAGGTCCGGTTCCAATTTTAAAATTTTGAAAACCTGTTCCGGCCCGGACCGTTTAAATAAAAACAAGCCAAGTCCGGTTTATATAAATTTGGGCTCAGACCGGCTCGTGCCCACCCCTATAGAATACCACACAAATACCTCACCAAGCATGACCAATGATATAAGGGGAAGAAGTGCAACACATTTTACATGTTCTAACTTTTCTAAGTACCACTGGCACGCTATCAATACCAAATAATTCGAAATGGAATTCGAATGCTCAGATTTGAGTCTATGGGAAGAGGCACTCTTATCATACGAGGAACGCATCAAATCCGTTGACAAGTCTAATCTCACCGCTCTCGAAGGCTTCTACCGGAACAAACTCTCTGCAGTGGCGGAGCCAAAGAGGAGCAATTGACTGCAATTGCAGTCACTCCAATTTTTATTTTTTAATATATATATATATATATATATATATATATATATATATATATATATATATATATATATATATATATATATATATATATAAAGAGAGAGAGAGGAAACAGAGCAGAGGGGGTCCGTATAGTGGAGATGTGCGATGTGCCTAACTTTTTAAAGAGCAAGTATATCAATTGATAATATGATTTTTTCTCTACTAATCTGGTGTTATTTTTAATATTTTTTGTTTTGTATTAAATTAATATGAAGATTATGCTCAAATAAACACTTTTTTTTAAATTAACACTTTTGATGAAGAAATTTTACAGAGTACATACTCCCTCCGTCCCTAAGTATTTGTCCACTTTTGACTTTTTTTGGTCAAAATTGATAAACTTTAACCTCAAATTAATTAAAATGATATTGGATATTGATACAAAAATAGTTTTATTAGACTTATTATATCATATATTTTCAAAATGTTATTTTATTTAATTACGAAGTAATAAACAATGCATGTCTTATTTAATTATAGGTCAAATATTGAAAATAGTTGATTGAAAAAAGTCAAAAATGGACATATACTCAGGGACAGAGGTAGTAATGTTTTTTAAAATACTTACAATTACTCCCTCCGTCTATGTATGATCTTCCCATTACGCGTTACGAGGCTTGACCGACTTTATTTTCAATTCAATTTAATTGATTATAGGAATAACATTTTAAAATAAAATTTATATAATAATAAACTACATTAAAAGTTCTACAAAACTAGAGGTGACAACACTATATTATTTTATGAAATGACTAGTAAAATTGAGTAAACAAAGTGAGTAAAGTTTGACCCTGTGAATAGTGTTTGGGAAGATCTATGGTGGACAGAGGGAGTAAATTATATGAATGTTAGCTTGACATAAAATTCCTTAATTTTTTTATTATTTTATACTCCGTATTACCTTTTTAAATAAATATTCAGGGCACTACTCAAGGGCTCTCGGTATAGCCCAACCACTACCTCTAAATCCTGGCTCCCCCACTGACTCCCTGTTCTCCTCCTGGAACGGAACCCTAGTCCGTACATTACCACGGCGGAGCTCACCAAGCTCATGCGATGGAAGCTCGCCCGAGGAAAATGGAGGCATGGAAGTTATTACATGTGTCCCCCCTTGTTCTCTCCTTCAGTATTTGGTAGTATATATTCGTCAAATATGATTGTTTTTGGAATTTTGCAGGCCGAGGCTTTTGGATTTTGTCTCCTCATTAGATGACGCCGTAGTCAAATCGGCATCACAAGCGGCATTTCTGTCTCTTCCTGATGTCTCTAAAGCCGTTCTCGAGCTTACTGTTTTGAAAGGTGTGGGTCCGGCCACGGCTTCCGCCCTTCTGGCTGCTTATGTCCCTGATGTTACCCGGTTCATGTCTGATGAAGTAATCCTTTCATTATACTCCTTTTAACACATTTGTTTTTAAATTTTTCTTATTCCTAATACTTATTAGGATGTCTTGTATAGGCGATGGAGGCTGTGATAGGCAACTCTAAAGATTACTCTTTGAAGCAGTATTTAGTTTTTGTTGACAAGCTACAATGTAAGGCCAAGGTAAACTATGATGTATACGTATATACTCTGGTTTGATTGAATTGGATGTCATTTTAATTATTTTGGAAATGAAGCATTTTCAATTGTTTTGATAATCTATCTTCAATATTATGGTGGAAATACTCGTGTAAATGCTTCTCCATGTTAAATTTCAGTACCTGTTTAGTACTACCTCCGTCCCAGAGTATTTGTCCACTTTCATTTTTACACACCATCCAATACACTTCTTTAATCCATTTTATCTTGTAATTTGTATATTAAAAAATTATAGAAATTATATATTAATAATCTATATGTTAAGACAAATCAAACAAGATCACACATGACTATATTTAGGCTTACACATTGAGAGAATTTGATGAGTCAAAGTGTTTAGATGAACAGTTCCAAAATTCAAAACTGGACAAATACTCCGGGACGGAGGGAGTACTTTGTATTGTTAACGGNGGTGGAAATACTCGTGTAAATGCTTCTCCATGTTAAATTTCAGTACCTGTTTAGTACTACCTCCGTCCCAGAGTATTTGTCCACTTTCATTTTTACACACCATCCAATACACTTCTTTAATCCATTTTATCTTGTAATTTGTATATTAAAAAATTATAGAAATTATATATTAATAATCTATATGTTAAGACAAATCAAACAAGATCACACATGACTATATTTAGGCTTACACATTGAGAGAATTTGATGAGTCAAAGTGTTTAGATGAACAGTTCCAAAATTCAAAACTGGACAAATACTCCGGGACGGAGGGAGTACTTTGTATTGTTAACGGTGCGACTATCATGAAATTAGATCAGTAATACTCCGTAAGAGAATTACTAGCCTTGTCACTAAGGGATGCATCAGCCTCAACACAGCATGCCCCCAAGGATGGAGCATGTAGTTTAGCATATTTTTTTGAAAATCTTATGTCCGATTTGTTTAACATTTTGATCCGCATGTACATCCATTTGACTAATTGTTTATTTGTTTAGTTTCATTTCTTATCTGTATTATGATTAATTTATACAGAGTAAAAAAATTATGTATGCTTATTAAATTATTTTTATCATGCATGAAAATTATATTACATTATATATATATATATATATATATATATATATATATATAGAGAGAGAGAGAGAGAGAGAGAGTTTGGTTCCGGTGAGCATATAATCTTATGAAAGAAATAAGAATAAACCACGTCCATTACATCTCATCAATTATAGAGACCTTGTCCCCTTACGTATAAGGTTATATCAGGGATTTTTCTAAAGAATCGTCTCTCTCATATTCCCTATCTTATTGAATCCGGGAAATCAGCGCACAATCTCCCTAAGTTTTGTTCCGTTTCCTTTTTTGAAGATGTTAGGCCTGATCAATTACTTCTCTGATCTGTAGCGTTTTGATCTGAACAAAAGGTGTTTGTTCTCATCGGATCCGCCATCTTTTCCGGCAAAACAAAGAAGTTAAACATAGATCCACCATGCTTCACTTCCGATTATGCAAGGTATGGTTTAATTAATTTGTATATGTGTGTCCATTTGGTTTTATATGGAGTATTTCTTTACATAGTGATAAAATTTAATTATTGTTTCCATAACCTTCCAACCTTTGAATTCATTCTGCTATTGTAGTTAGGAAAAGTCTAGATTATGATAGAACAACTACTTCGAATGGAAGACTCTTATATACGTTTTCCCTTGTATTCTACTCCGTATTAATTTTTAATTATTACTCACCCTATTGAAATAAAGCCCCAAAATTAGATGATGTTAAAAACTCTGGTAGTTGGCCTGGTATACGATTTTAGAGATAATATACAACATTTACCTTTCAATAGCTTTAAGATGCACTTTATTTGCCCTTTTTATATACAACCTGCAACTTTAGGATATTTTGCATTACAGTTTTCAATACTGCTATGCAATCCTTCTATGATGCATTCAACAATTTTCACAGATACATTATTGTCTTTTCACTTTTTAATTTTTTTTAGATCAACATAAAAAACATTTGTAAAATCTTTAGTGCATTATAAAGAACCCTCAGTGCATTACGAAGTATTTGCAGTGCATATTCAATATACTCTAGACTGATTTGTAAATTATAATAAGTATTTTAGTGTATAAAAAGAACACTTTGTGCATATTCTAAGGACTCCATATCAATTAATAAAGCGTGATGGGTATGGTTAGAGCTTTTGTGGGTTTGAGCCTTGAGGTTTCAATTTCTGGGAGTGGATGCATCATTCTTAATAATGTTCAAGCAGAAGATTGTCCATCGGTACTACTTCACAATTACATATACTCTATGGTGTCAAACTTTTTAAAAATTCCGCTCTTTTTTCTATGTCCATTTTTCATACATGTTTCTAATTTGTATGCAATTTGAGCACATGTCGATTTTGATGTGCTGGTTCTTGGAGTGTGTTTTCTAAATTAGTATTTGTGTTGGTTTGCTAATGATTTTTAATTAACTACTTATAGTTTTCCTAAACTTATAGTTCATTACCCAATGTTTGATGATATTTTTACCACTTTTCTTCTACAGGAGTAGTTTATTTTTCTGCTTTATTTGTTTATGTAAGCACATGGTAATGCATTTTTAAGTTGAAACTTTTGCACGTAGTCACATAACAGGGTCAGGGTCATCATATTGCCACCACTCTTAAAATTCCTCTTAATATGTATCGATAAATCATCATTATCTTTCTGTTTTTTCTATGCATCGATCAGAACTTGATCTTACATATTTAGTTAAATACATAATTATGTACTTTGTGAATGTAAATTATTTTCTCTTATATTGTACTTACCAAGATGATTTAGTGTTCCCTTTGTGAATTTTCATGATATACAAGATTAATGTCTCCTAGTTCATCATTTTTTATTTTAAATTGTTTGCTGAAATGGTACCAAAAGAGGACATGATTCTTAATAAGCCGAGAGTGTTATGACTTTGAGTATGCAATATTAAGCTAATATAGATCCATATGTGTTCCAGATTTGAGGATGAAGCTAAGAACATGCATACAAAGATGAAGCTAAACAATTTACAAATCCAAGTAAATAAGAAGGCTATGCAACTGTTCAAGATCATGATGCATACAAAAATGGAGTGGATGCATTAATAACCTGAAGACTTAGAAAACACTGATGTTTAATTTAGTGAAGTGAAAAGTATTACATGTATTCTCAAAATTTTGTGATAGATTTTTATTGTACTTGTTAGTTCCAAGAGTTGGGAGATTTATTTTGTTAATGTTGGAAATAATTTTTTACAGTATGTTCTTGATATTTTAACTTTTTTTGGATTACGGGTTATTTTTTAAGATTTATTTATTGTCATTATAATAACACGACCATTTTTTTAAAAATTAAAAATATAAGATGCAAACACTGGCTAACATTAAGCATTTTATCCACGTGGGCAAATGCCAGCTATTTGAACATATTTTCAACCTTATATCTAGGATAATATAAAACAATATTAAATTAGAAACTCAACGACAAAATTGGTGCATTTTGGATGCAATTTTCATGCATTTCGTATGTAGGATTGTTGTATTTCAACAACAAAACAATATTATAAACAAACAAAGAATAAATGCATACGATAAAATAATAAATTGCGATTTAAAATTTTTAAAGAAGTAAGAAAACAAAGGGTATTAGATTAAATGCAATAGATTAAGAATGCCTCGAACAATGTGCATCAGATTAAATTACTAGAAAATGCATGTGCATTTTTGATAAAATCTGAAAATTTACATTAAAATCCAAGTGAATACAAAGTTACAGGGCATAGCCTTAAAAATCAACAAAAGCAAAAGCACATGCAAAGCCAACAACAAAACTAATCCCCAAATAGAATAGCTAAACCAATGCTCCTTGGCGACAAAACTGAACAGGACATATCTGAGGTAGGGGCCGGGTGACGGGTGCCATACAAACTTGCATTCACATATCTAGGAAAAGTATATATATGAAGCATATATACTTCCTGCTCTATTCTGAAAATGTATCACTTTTTAAATACATTATTGCACATAGTCAAATAACTAGATCTTTTTTTAAAATAGAACTAAAATTCAAGAAGAAAACATCAGTTCCCATTAGTGTTTGAACATATTGCATTGTTAAATCTAATCCAACATAATAAAAAAACAGAGTATTAAATCCAAGGCAACCAGCAACACATATGATGCATTAGCGTACATGTTTGGTGTTAGAAACAAAGGGATGCAGAGTCCGACGGAAGGGGATGCAACAAAAACACCACTAGGTGCCTTCGTCATCGACATAATGGGATGTAGAGTTGTCTGGTGTTGTTAGCCTGATTTTTTCCTCCATCGGCTTCGTGTTTTTGTCTAGTGTTGTAGAAGGAATGCAGAGATCTATGGAGTAAAGGGCGGAAATTCCAGGAAAAAAAGGTAAGAGCCGTGTCTAAGATCTAAATGGTAGTGGGCACTTTTTTCCAAATTTACCCTTGTCAAAATTTGAAGCCTATTTTAACGCATGTCTTATTGGACTTTCCATCTAAAAGAAAATAAACATTAATGCACGTATGCCTATCATCAGCTGACCGATCGTAACCATCCAACTACCCTAATTCATTCTCATTTCTTTAACTAAGGTTCATTCTCACGGGAATCAGCCCCTGTGTGTGTGTGTGTGTGTGTGTATTTAAGGGGACTTTTATTAAGATAATAAGAGAAAAAACCAAGGATTACAACGAAAAGGAATCTAGGACCACATGTTACCTAGATCCTTGAAAGGGGAGTAAACCTGAGCTAAGGACATTAGATTTAAAAAGGAAAGTTGTATTGATATTGTTTGCCCAAAACCATCCTTGAGCCAGCTTGTTTATGGAGAGGACTAGTGAGTTCAACGATGGTCTGCCATTGTCAAAGAGGCACTTGTTGTAGAGTTTCCAGATTGTCCAACAAATAAAACCCGGTAGCAGGAAGCGTAGTTTCCCTTTTATGCTTCCTTTATTTGAGGATAACCACCAGCTGAGCATTACTTGTTGTAGCATAGGGTTTCCCTTCATAGTTGGAGCGCTAACATCCGTTGAGTAGACATTCCAGATGGTTGAGATCAGCTTGCATTTGAGGAAGAGATGTTGTTCACTCATGTTCATATCCATGCAGAAAGGGCACGGTGTATTGGTGATGATGCCCATTCGTTGCAGGTTGTTTGGGAAGGGAAGTAAGTTGTTGAATAGACGCCAAAGGAAAATGCTGATCTTACCCATTTGTCTCTTATCCCAAATATAGACACAAGTGGCCTGTTTTGGCTGATGATCATAGGTAAGTGAGTATGCCTTCCTGAAAGTGTAAGTCCCAAAGTTCCATTCAGCACCATCTGTGGAAAGCCTACAATGAGGAAGAATTAGTGGAGTGGTTTTACATATGGATTTCCAAGTGTAGGAGTCATAAGGCTTTGGAGAGAAAAGACCATCTCTGAGGTATTTATGTCTCATGTATTTGCTCCAAATAGTATTCCCCTGGATCATTTTCCACCATAGGTCAATGAAAGCTGCATCCTGGCTTAGTGTTAAATTTCTTATCCCCAGTCCTCCTTCC